TAGATACTGTATTTTCTGCATTTACAGCTGAGGACGTGAAGTGTAGGGAGATTAGATGATTGTGGCCCAAGGCACACCTACTAAGGAGAGGAGCTGGCACAGGTGTGTCTGTCTTGGAAACACCACACTGTCGGCCTACAATTATGTCTGTAGGGATTGTCTGACTTGCAGAATTCATGTGCGGCTTCCATTTCTGTTCTTATCCTCTATTCCTCTCTGTCCTTAGTTCTCTATGTTTACCTTGAAATCTCCATGTAAATCATGCTGACTTAGCACAGTCTATGGTGAAACCACCTAGCATTTTGTGGGAAAAGAAATCAGCCTGTAAGGGGAAGTCCACGCAGGCCCTGGCTCTCCCACTGCCCATTCCGTTTTAGGTTCTCGCTGTTTAGACCATTACGCATCTTCCTTTATGCTTTTCCTTCCTGCATGTCATTGGAAGGATTAGAATCAGTCTTCCTGCCATGAAGGTTTCTCAGGGAATAAAAGAAGACACTTTAAGTCTGGTGATGGAATTTTGACTCATCCCCCTTTCTTCTAAAAAGCTTTACCCAGTTTATGTTCCCTACCCCTGGCTGTGCTTAATGGTACTGGCCAAAATTTTTGTCAGGATTAAGACTGGGAATTTTTGGCACTCATATCTTAAGCTCCTGTTAAAACTTACAATTTGAGGACTTTTAAAAGAAATCACTTATGAAGGAAATATTTCTGTAACAGTGGCTGTCGAAATGATAATCCACATGATGCAACACAGACAGTAACCTTTGGGCAGATAACCTGTAACAGAGCAGAACTGGCCTTATGCTACTTTTGCCTTTAAAACACCACCTACATCTTCACATCTTCATCATCATCAGGAAACATGTATAAAGCCCCTGGCTATATATAGCATTTTGAGATATCACTAAGGTGGAGAATGTTTGAATGTCTCTGCTCACTAAAAGGAAACATCAGTTTAGACTTGCCCAGACTGCATTTTAAAAGACCAGGCTAACCAAGTCATCCCTAAGAAGCCCTTCTAAATTCCAAGGAGCATAAATTCCAAGATTTATGATACAGTTCTAATTTTATGCATTTCCTAAATATTGAATAATACTTTTGGCCCCATATATAATGTATAGAGTATATTTACGCTTATTTCACAGGAACGAACACATATTCAAACAATTTTAAATTACTTTAATGGTTTATGTTTTATCTTTGTTTTTATAACGTTGTCGTGTCTCAGCTCTGATTTAGTAATGTTTGAGGATGCAACCACTAAATTTAATATCCTTCCTGGGGGGGCAGATTATATAATTTATATATATAATTATGTTGTATATATTGTATGTTATATATGTAATTTGTGTGTGTGTATGTATTGGAAACATTGATGATCCTCTAATCCTATAGTTTCTAGAAACATATTGGAGTTAAAAAGTAGGATAATCAACTCCTTTTAACTGCTTATAGAAAACATAGCACCATGCATCAATGATCCATAACATAGGAATTCAGGCTTCCTTGCTTGTAAAATGAATAAAATTATGTTCCTTTGCAAGTATCACAGTGTTTCTGGGATTCAGTTTCCTCATTCTCAAAATGAAGGAATTTAACTGACAACTTCAAATGTCAGCTTTAAACTGATTGAATTGTCCTGTTAATCTCTTGGGTCGTGCAATTTAGTGCTATAACTAGAGTTAGCCTGAGTGTTTCAAAAGCAAGATTAACTGAAGCTCTTTCTCCAGCTGTCGGGTGGGGAGATTATTCATGAATGTTGCCCCGTCATTTGAATCCGGTTTGCTGATGAATAAGCAAACTCCATTATTCTGAGGCCCCCTCCCTAATGGAACCCCAGCCTCACCTCCACATCCTCTTCGCCGTCCAGTTGTGGAGCCAGTATCTTGCCAGACATCAGGGGCATTGTTGAGATGTGGAAGGTCTGAGTCACAGGGCCCAAAGGACAGACCCTGGCACCAACTTTATTCATCCAGTCAGTATTTCCAAGACCCAGCTCTCAGCTCGCTTGAATTTGAACATGTAGGATTTACGTGTAGTTTTTTTTCATTTTCAGTTTCCCTTTTTATATCTTCTTAATTCCTACTCTTCTTTTCCGACTAAACTATAGATTTACACTGTAAAATGGACTGTCATTAAGCTTTCTCTGCCTTAATTTCCTCAACTGAAGAATGGTGACACTAATACTAGCCCCTTTATTCACTGTGATCTGGGGAGGAAAAGTGAAGGTAACTGATGCCATAAAGTCCTTTGAACTTAGAGCAGGAGGGTAGTTCGATTGTAATAAGAATCTTCTATCTTTCTCTATTTTTATGTGACATTTAAAATGTTAACTTTGAATATGCACCAGGGAGGGCAATCTCATTTTGAATGTCATTGACAGAATCATGGCCTAGAAGATCTTAGAGTTGCATTCAAAAACCAAGAAGATGTGTTTAAGAACTAAGACCAAGCCATCGACTATTTCTTTTCAGAGAATATGTGCAGAAATAGGAGAGTTAGATGGTAACTGTAGGGCATAATACAAAAAGAAGCTATACTTTAAGATTTTAGAAATCTATTTTGTGTGTATCCTTTCAAGAGAAAAAGTGTAACATAGTTCATGAATGTTTTAATGTATAGTGATTTTTTTTTCTCTAGAGCTGTATGATTCAATAAAGAAGCCACAAGTCGCTATTTTAATTAAAATGAATGAGAATTAAATATAATTAAAACTTCAGTTATTCAGTCACAGTCACATTTTAAGTGCTTAGCAGCCGCATGTGGTTAATGGCTACTGTATTGGAGTGTCCAGGTATGGAACATTTCCGGAAGGTTCTATGAGTGGCACTACCCTAGAGGAACTGAGAAAAGGTAAAAGAACATCCCCATCCTTGTCCTTCTCACAGTTGCTTTTTAAAATTTAAATAGACTCTCTGGCTTTATAGTATTATGTTTTAAATGAACTTTTGAAATTATTAAAGGAAACACAATGTGGTTGTGCAGGAAAGCACACCTCACTCTAAAACATGATTTGTTTCTCTGCTGAGAACAAATATGCCCTTCAGGATAACACTTGGAAAATCCTGGAACCAGTTGTTTGCTTTCAGAGTTGTACTTCTTCCAGAAATATTTTCTTACTTACTCGGTAACATATTACCCAGACCAGTCCAGTAGTCACTTAATCAGGTACCATATTGAACTGTTATGTAATATTTCATGGATATAAACTAAACTACTTCCTTAGCAAAATAATGAATCTCTTATATTTCAAATTCACTCTATCCACCAATCCATTTGGGCTTTATCATCAAAGTATAACCAGAATCTGACCACTTCTCATCACTCCCACTGACCACTACGGTCCCAACCATCATCATGTCTCTTGCGAATTATTGCAGCTGCCTCCTGACTGGTTCCCTGCTTTCACTCTTGCCCTCTCACCCGCTTTTCAGTGTGTTCTCAGCATGGCAGCCAGAGAGATCATTTTAATGTCAGGTCACATCCCTCTTGTGCTCAAAATCCTCCAGTGGCTTACCTTTTTATTCCAAGTAAAAGCTAAAGTGTGGACAGTAGCCTATAAGCCCTCACAGATCTCACAGCCTCCCTCACCCCCACCTCATCACCCCTCTGACTTCACCCCTGCTGACTCTCTGCAAGCACAGTAGGCTCTTATTTATCCTTCGATAACTGCAGGCATATTCTTGCCTCAGGGCCTTTGCATTTGCTGTTCCCTCTGCCTGGATCACTCTAGGGTCCGACAGATATTCATATGGCTCATTCCTTCTTTTCCTTTAGACCTTTTTCAACATCACTTCATAAAGAGGTCTCGCCAAACTATTTAAAGATGCTATCTACCCATCACCCTTCCCCCAATCCCACAGAGCAATCGCTGTTTCCTCTCCCTGCTATATTTTTCTCCATAGCACTTATCTCCATCTGGTATACCACATGTTGAACTTATTTATTTGCGTGTAGTCTGTCTCCTCCCAGTAGAATATAAGTGGCTTGAAGGCAGGGCTTTCTGTCTTTTTATCCTTAGTGTTTAGCACAAGGTAGGCACTCAATAATTATTTAAATGAATGAATAAATAAATGAATGAATGAAAGAAATAATTACTCAAATCTTTAATGGCAATTATGATAAATGCTACAAGAAAAAAAATATGATAGGACGAGTGCATTTGAAAGAGAATTATATTTTTTGGAACCAAAGAGTGCTAATCCAATTGAAATTCATTTTAGCAAGAGAAAAACAAAGACACATCTTCTAGCATAATCCTGCCACTACCTACTTCCTCTGGAAGATTACTCTGCTTTCTGCCTGGCTCTACAAGATGCCTTGGTTCCTCACCTTCCCACTGTTTTTTTTTTTTTTTTTTTTTTTAAAGATGTTTTTCCCCCAAAGCCCCCTGGTACATAGTTCTGTATTTTTGGTTGTGTGTCCTTCTAGTTGTGTATGTGGGATGCCACCTCAGCATGGCTTGATGAGCGGTACCATGTCCACGCCTAGGATCCAAACCGGCAAAACCCTCGGCCACGCAAGTGGAGCTCGAGAACTTAACCACTCGGCCATGGGGCTGGCCCTCCTTCCCACTCTTGAAGAGCTGCATAGAGGGGCGTTTGAACCAGGGCTCCCGGGGTTGTATGTGGATAACTTCAAAAAGAAAGTGAGGCTCCAGGTTTGGCTGGTCCTTTTGCAGACCAGCCAGTCCTTTGCTGTCCTGCCAGCCCACTCAAAGATGGCAGAAGAAGGACCCTCTTGGTTTTGGAGCTGAGCTGCCATGGGTATGTGTTTGTTTTGAGAGAGCAGGGGCCATGGGTGAAGGACCCAACCTTCATAGTTTGCTGCCTTGGGAAGGGAGGCAATGACTTTTAGAAATAGAGAAGCACAGAGTTCCCAGCCCCATGTTAGGAAGTGATTGATGCCAGACTGGGGCACCCGACCTGTTTCTGGCATAGTGGGGCAGAGGGGAAGGCTTGGGCATGGTCTGTAGCAATAAAGATAGAGGGGTCACTTACGGTTTGCTGATTTGCTGGTTCCCACTGAGGCAGAGAGGAGGAGGTGCGGCTGCGCAGAGAGCCTGAGTTGTTAATTTCTACATTAAAGGGGACAGCAGCGGTGGAATTTATGCCTAAAGTTGTCAACAACTCTTCACTTCCTCCTATTGTAGGAAGGCTGGGTGTGGCTTAAAAAGCTCTGCCCCCAAATTTCACTTTATCTTGAAACTTTGTACGGTTTGGAAAAATGCTAACGTGGAATTCTTTTAGCAGATGAATGATGTTTCTATGTTCCCTGAGCAAAACACTTCTCCACATAGCCAATCTCATTTATCTGAAGCTTCAAGAAAGAAAGACAGGCTCTTTAAAAAAAAAAAAAAAATGTTTCCTCTCTTTGGCATGTCTTTTCAATATGCCCTGGTTTTTAAAGATAGGTTTCCTTCTGTTTAAATTGTCTATTAATTGTCACTAAAATGACATTATTTCTGTATTTTATATGATATCCACCTCTTCAGTACCCAGACCCATCCTTTGTAAATTGTTCAGTTTTGTGGCTTTAACTCTGTTGCCCTGTTGGTACAATCAAGGGCAAAATCAAGATATAGAAAGCCATAGTATATCTGAAATCATTCATTAAAGGGGATTTTGCTTACCCTGCATCCATGGCTAGAAGTGACATTCCCAGCCTGTGGGGAGTTGCAGAAGACTAGAACTGGAACCCTGCCTTTCTCTAATGAATTAGTGAGTGCAGAAGTTCTCTGAACACAGTAGGCCAAAGACAGGGATGTCAGCACTTGGCACTTTTCTATGTGTCCTCTCGAGGTTATCTTGTTCCGTGTCTCTTCATTTTGGCAGGTGAGTTGGGAATTAACTAGTAGATCTATTTGAAGTGGGTCGAGGTGAGCTGCAAACAACAGATTTTCAGGTACTTTCCTTATTCAATATGACTAATACATAGGATAGATGTCAATTATGTGATAAGCAACAGGAATAAACAGGTGTAACGGAATTTTTATAATCAGGTTCACAGACTATAGCAACTTTTTATTCTAAGAGACTGAATTTTCACAGCTGAAAAGGGGACGAGAAAGAACAATAAAACTTATTGCATTCATTCATTCAACAGATATCTGAGTACCTATTTTGTGCCAGACACTGGGAAATATACCTTTGAGTAGGACAGATGTGGCCCCTGCTCCCAGGCACCTTACAGTCTGGTGGGGCAGGTGGATATTAAATATATAATTCCACAGATAATTAAAATTGGGATAGGTATTACTAAGGGAAAGTGCAAATACTGTGAGAGCATGTGATAGGAAGACTTGCTGTAGTCTGGGCTTTCTTCAGGAAGTCTTCTAGGTTGGGATCTGAAAGATGATAGGTGTGATCCAGGTAAAGGTAAAGAAAGGAAGGGGAAGGGGAGAGCATTTGAAGCAGAGGGCGGCTCAGGAGCCCTTCACTTAAAGGACCATCAGAAGGCCAGTGTGGCTAGAATGGGAGGCCAGTGGGGAGAAGAGGGAGTGAAGTGAGGCTGCAAGTCCGGGCAGGGACCAGGGTAGTCATACAGAGCCACTGAAGAGCTTGAGCAGAGAAGCGATATGATAATGTTTGGGTTTTTAGAAGATCACTTCAAGATCCTGTATAGACAGTTGATTTGGTGAGGCAAGAGTGGATCTGTTAGGAGGCTATTGCAAGTGGTGCAGGAGCGAGATGATCGTGGCTTGGAATAGAGTCATTGTAGTCAAGATGGAGGAAGTGACTGGATTTAAGAAATGTTTAGACCATGTAAACTTGCTGAAGGATGGAGATAGGGAGTAAAAGTGACAATGCCTGATTTCTGGCTTCACAAACTGTGTGGATGGCCATGCCCATTATTGAGCTCAAACTCTTGGAGGAGGAACAGATTCTGGAAGAAAGATCACAAGTTTAGTCAAGGACATGCTGAGTTTAAGGGTCAGAGAGACATCCAAGTGGACATAGATGAATAGATCTGATGATCCTAGAGAGGTCTGGGCTATGCATGAACTTGGGAGTCATCTGGGGTCCATTGAAGTCATGGGAGAGAATGGAAGGCAGGAGGGAGTGGGGAATGGACGTGCAACTAGGCATGACCAGAGAGGTGGATGGAAAACCTGTGGAAAAGAGAATTCCAAGCATGAAGGTTTGAGCCAATGCTAAGGAGAGATCTAGTTCAGCTGTGAAATCTAAGTGAGCTGTGCCCAATGCTAAGGCATAATCTAGTTAGGAAATGCTGAAAACTATACAAGGGATTTAGCAACAAGGAGGTGATTGGGACCTCAGGAGTAATTTCAGTGGAGTTATGGGGTCAGAAGCCAATTTTGAACAGTAGAGGAGAGAATTTGAGGCAGGAAAATGAAGACATCAAGTGCAGATCCTTTTTGGAGAAGGTGGGCTCAGAGGAAGGAGGGAGTTAGCTGGAGCCGCAAGAAGTCTGTAGAATTTAAGATCTAGCTGTAGATCTTGTATCTCTATGTTTGGACATTTAGCTATGGAAGGGAAGGCGTAGTCGAAGGGAAGGCGTAGTCAGTCACTTAAGGTTCCTGCAATGGTGGGCGGAATATAATCTAGAGCGCAGGTGAAGGGATGGGCATTTTCCTCCAGCACTTCAGAAAGAGAGGTGGAGGGTCGGCCCCTTGGCCGAGTGGTTAAGTTCGTGTGCTCCGCTTTGGTGGCCCAGGGTTTCACTGGTTCAGATCCTGGGCACGGATGTGGCACTGCTTATCAGGCCATGCTGAGGCAGTATCCCACATGCCACAACTAGAAGGACATACAACTAAAAATATAGGAGAGGTGGGATGCAGGCGCAGGGCCAGGCAGGTGTGGAGGTTTGGAGTGGGAGGGTCAGTGATAGCATTCTCATCATTTCTGTTTATTCGGTGAAGTAGGAGGCAGAGTCGTTTTCCCAGATGAAGGAAGTGTGGAATCAGCTTGCTGGGTTAGATCAGTTCTCCAGCTGTCCTTGGCAGCTACCACCGCAAACACAGAATAGGCGGCTAGGTGGGTTCATCCAGGGTTGAGGTTTTTTTCTGTAGGCGTAATGAAAGGACAAGAACACACAGGCTGAAGATATTAACAATGGAGGTGAGATTTCAGTGGGATGAAGGCAGGCTAGGGCTGATGGAGAGGGAGAATGTAGAATGGTTAGTGACCCCGCAGTGTCAGGGGGCAAGAAATAGTGTGGTGGTGGGTAGCTGAGTGGGGGAACACAAGCCTCTTACTGTAATGTGTATGTAAATCACCTGGGGATCTTATTAAAGTACAGATTCTGTTACAGCAGGTCGGGGTGGGGGCGGCCTCAGATTCTGCATTTCTGACAAGTTCCTGAGTGATGCCTACTCTTTTGGCCCATGGAGTACACTTTGAGGAGACATTGGAAGGTTGTAGTCAGAGAGTGGGGTGCCTGCATTAGAAATCCTGGAGGTGTTGCAGTTTTAAGCAACAGATGACATGGCCTGGAGAATGACAGAGTGGACCAGGAGGTGAAAGAATGGGAAGTCCACCTGATTATTGAGTCTCTCAGCATGCACGACAGTGATGGCAACACTGTTCTAAGCACCTTGTGTATATTATGTTGTTTAATCCTCTCGATAGCCCACAATGAGTACGTATTATGATCGCTTATTTTACAAATGAGGAAAGTGAGGCACAGAGAGGCCTTTCTCTAAATCGCCCATGCTTGTGAGTGGTGGAGTAAGGTTCAAACTTTGGCAGTGCAACTCCAGTACCTCTCCAGAGTCCAGTGCCCTTGTGTGAGCGGAGTCATTACTGACCCCTGATGACAGAAGTGGAGGGGGGCATAGAAAAATTTTGAGCCAGGTGTTAGTGTCACTTGTGAATAAAGTTAAGAGTGTCAAGAGAGTGCTAGAGTTTTTACAAGTTATCCCATTTAATCCTCATAACTGTCTCACAGAGGTTACGCCATACCCATTTTACAGGTAAGGAAAGTAAGATTCAGAGAGGTTAGGTAATGAAGTCGGGGAGTTGGCAAGTGAATTCAGATTGGTCTGAGTCCAACGCCCGTTCTTCCTCTTTATCAGGTTTCGCTACATCACCACATAGAAATGAAATTCTCTTCCAATTCTCAGGTAGGCTGTAGTTACCATGGGAATAATCTCTTCCTTAAGCACAGATTAAGCTACATCCTGGAGATGGTGTGTTGTGAACAAAGCTGTGCCCAGGAGACGGGGCATCTGGGCTTGGCTTTCTCTCCAATTGGCAAGTTTGCACATGTCTCTGTAGGTCTAACTTTTTCATCCCTATAGGTCACTTTCAGAGCTATATTCTATGAGGACAGTTATAATGGCTCCTTTTATATTAATGTCTGCTATGGGTTTAGCACTTGATACATTATCTCTAGTTCTTACGCAAGGATAAATATTGTCTCCAGTTTAGAGGTGAGGCTACTGCAGCCTGGAGATTTAAAGTTAGCCGCCTGCGACCTCTCAGCTCACAAAATGGCAAAGCTGGGATTTCTTCTGAGGTTTGTCTGACTCCAAAGCTCACGTTCTTTTCATCCTACTACGCTGCCTCAACCTCTTCTATAGCCCCATGGTGGGTCATGTTTCACAGGTGCAGATGGTGCCATAAGCCACTGGTTATCAAACTTTCAAATCCTGGACCCAGAGAAGAAATACATTTTATATTGATTTTGAGAAGCACCCCCCTACACACACACGTATGTGCACACATACGCACGTCCTGCATGTACACCATGTGCACACTGATGTCTCTGAAACAAGAGTTTCCTAAAACAATGCTTATGGTTTCTACTTGCAATGCACTTGATCTTTTTTCCACTTTCAGTTCAGTTAGGCTTTTTTATGAACATGCTTGTTAAACTCTACTGAATTGATTTAAGCCCCACCAATGGGCTACAGCCCTGTAAATTATGTGCATACCTGGATTCCTTGATATAATCACTCCAAATCTTCTTTTGTCCTTCTATCCCTATTTCTTATCTCTGAATTTAGTGAAGACTCTCTCTCTATCCGATTATTTACGTAACAATATTAAATCTAAATCCATCCCCCCACCATATGCAAAGTGGAAGAATATTTCATAAATCTACTCTAAGAGTAGGAAAGAAGATGTGTACTTTTTTCATTTGATGAAAATGATAATATAACAAAAGGGGAAGAATAAGGAAGTGACATTGTGCCTCCTTTGGTTGAGAAGATGAGGATATAAGGCCAGGAAACATTGGCTGGCAAATTGAAATGGTATTGGTTGGGCTGGGACCGTAGCAGTAGAATTTCGATAA